TGTGTTTTGAGTTTTAAAATCCATTTCAGTTCTTCTCGTTGTCTGTGTTCAGTAGAGCGGAAGTTACTGGCTATGAGAGTCACTTTGAGATGGTGAATATTGTGGTGGGGGGAGTTAAAGTGTTCCCCCTACAGGGAAACCAGGGGTGTTATTGCGGATGGAATGTTTATGGTTATTAAATCGTAGGTGGAATTTATTACCCGTTATGCCTTACTTGCCTTATATCCATTAACCGTGGATGAATTAATTCCCTCATGCATTAACTATAGTAATGCTTTCCCACAGTCCACCACTTGCTCATTCATTGTTCACCCTTATCACTGTTTATTTGTTCATTATCATTAATCCTTTATAGACGTATGCCGACTTGCTTTGACTTAATTACCGTATTGTTTCTCAAATTGCATATTACTAAGATAGTTTCTCAATAATTATGTTCATTTTATGTCAAGCGTTGACAAAGACTACAGGAGTAGCCGAAATATTCGCCTAATAAATTTTAGTGTTTCTAAAGTCAACATCTTACGTATTTGAGTTTCTTTACTGTTACGTTATATTATATTCTAAATATGTTTCGAAACACATGTGGACACGCCTTCTTCATATATATATATATATATATATATATATATATATATATACACAATTTCTGGGGTACTGAGCATAAGAATGTGTCTAATAAGTAAATCTTAATTCAAAGATATGACAAATCAATTTGGTATATTGCACAATTGCTACCTTTATATACATATAAAACACAACTCTGCTGGGTTTTGAGCAGTGTTCAACAATAAAATATATCAAAATAAGTACAAGATAACTTTTACGCATGTTATTATGCAACCATAGTCTAACGCAATGTTTGTATATAGAAACAATAATATCGATAATATATTAAAGTCATACTCACGTTTTCATTTGGTGTCTCATGTGTAGATTTTCCTTTTTCTAATGATGCCTCATTAACAGATTTATCATAATCAAAATACATTTCTCCAACAGAGCCATAGTTGTCTACTGTTTTCATAAAAAGTGTCTCTGCCATTGACCTCTCATAGATTTCAGTAGCATTACCTATTGAGAAGGCATTTTGATTATGTTCTTTCCTATGTATTTAATGTCAATAAATTTTTTAATTATTTTGTTTTATTTCATTGAAAATTAAGATATATTGTCTTTGAAATACATCTGAGAACAAACTATCAAGCACATCACAGTTCAACTAAAACATTTATTTTTTTTATTGTTCCCGCAAAAAAAATTCTAAAAGAATAACCTCAACGACTGTAATAATAAAAGAAGTAATATTATTTTTATTTTTATCATTTATATTTTTCCTACATTAAATTTTATTGATATTTTTAAATTATAGTACTAATGACTATGATTTTTATAATTATAATAGGAATTATATTGGCAACACTGATAATAATAATTATTATGTTTTTTGAACATTATTGGTAATAAGTATTTAACAATTATTGTGATTTGTTGTCTTACCAACATTAGTAAGATTTTCACTCCATTCATCAGTTTTATTGGTTGTCCTGGTTATAATCTTAGTGGTTGCTATTCCATCTGTAATTTTTTCGTCTCGGTTAAATCTGCAGTAATTGTGATTGATAAATGTTGATTTCTTGTAGATTCTCAGAATATTTTTATTTATTTGCTGCAGATATATTCTTCATTCATCATTATATCGTGTATTAATGTCAAAAATTAAACACTGATACTTAATTTTTAAAAAAAACAAAAACAAAAAACACATGAACTTATAAATAAATATATTCTATTTATATTATTTTATACTTTCTATACTAATTTGTATCTTTGTTAAAAATGTTCACCCTTGCCTCTGCCCAGGACTCAACTTCCGCAACCCCAGAGCTGATTTCCCTTACATTGGTTTCACCAGTAGGGATAATTCAATGATTTTAATAGATAAAGGTAGGACAATCTAGGCCTACGTGTGAGCACTGCGTTTCTATTTTGTCCAGGTCAAGAAGCACCTTATCACAGAAAAAAAAAATCAAAACTGAAGCAATGCTAACTGTACCAACAGTTCACGCCCGTATCCAGGGGAGGGGGGTTGCGTTGGGTGCGTATGCACCCCACCCCAAATCGAAAAACGTCCACTAATTATAACCAAAAAAAAAAAAATGTGACCTTGTTCCTAAAACAAAAATTATAAAATGAATCACATAACAGTACATATTAAGATTGTATGAATGTACAAATGAGTTACAATAAGAATACTAGAGCACTGACTCCACACGCGCAATCTTTTGTACTGCCAGCAACATAACACAACAAACATACAAACGTTATATGCATGTTATCGTCTAAGTGTATCTTCCCCTAACTACCAGCTGGTATGTCAGTGTATATCAATGAAGTCAAAATGCTAAAATGACACCCCGGTTTAGACAAGTATAATCATTCCTAGCGCTCTCAGAAATACCGAGACAAGTATACTCGACGCTGGAGTGCGCACGTGTTAAAAAATGGTTACGAATTTATACAGTAGTATTTTTCATTTGGGAAACAATTTGCTTGTTTCTCCATGTCCTCCACTGGTAATTTTTTGATAGGCGCTATCGCTGTGTTCACGGACATATAGAGAGTAACATGATAAAATGCCTTCAAATTAGTCTACTAGGACTAAGAAAGCAAATTTTTCCGGGGCCTTCGGCCCCTGGACCCCGACCGGGGGCCCTGGGCGGCCTCCAGCCTGGTTGCTCGCTGCGCTCGCATAACGCTCCCCCCCATTCAAAAAGCTGGATACGGGCCTGCAGTTGGATTTAGAGAGTATTGAGGATCTGCTGTCTCGTGGCATACCTAATATACTTGGAACAATATCTGCAGAAACGCTATGCTTTAAGGCAAAGGCAGATCCACGATGATAATAAGAGGAGTACACAAACATAGATCTTCCTGTTGGTGGCGACTGTGTGGTCCCCATGCTTCGGTTTCGGTGGTAGCTTGGCGTTTTTTTGTTTGTTTGTTTTTTTGTTTATTTACTCAGCCTTTTGCCATTTTTTCGTTGTCTTCTTACCTATTGCACAGAAACCTTGTTTATTTGCGCTATATAAATCCATCATAGTCGTCAATTTTTACTATTAAACATATTTTCTATTACTTTTTATTTCTTTGGAACATATTTTTTGGAGATTTATGTTATAGAAAAGGAGTTGCTGTAGTGCCGAGGTGAATATGTGCCCGTTATTGAGTCTTCTTTTTATCATCATCATCGTCACCGCCATTATTATTATTTTATGTCACAGTGATAATTTCTAATGGCTATAGAACATGATTGTTGCTATTTTCTTCCATTTTTATTTATTATCTTAATATATAATAATTATACATTTGCTTACTTTTTACCAAGGCAGGAATTTATGAGGCAGGTTTTACCCGCTCTTTCTTGTCCTATCACCTTAATTGTTCCAAGATTCACCTCAACAGTGCCGTCTTCTAAGGCTTCAGTGTAAGCTTTTACAGACGATGGTCCATGAGTTTGAATTATTGATGGAATTGCACTTTCTAATAATGAATGATTTAGAGAAAAA